GTGGCACGGCCCACAGTGAGCTGGGCCCTCTCACATCAATCATTAATCAAAATATGCCCCATAAACTTGCCTGGGGATCAATCTGGTTGAGGAGATTTTCTCAATTTAGATTCTCTCTTCCCATCTATGTCAAGCTGACAAAAGACGAAAGAGCCCACATTTAAATGCTCTCCCCAGCTTTCAGCACCTCCCAGAGGGTCCTGATCCTAGTCCCATGTCTGTGTAATGGATACCAGCTCTCTGTTGCCGGCAGCTGAAGAAGTGTAAATCTAGGGTGAGACAATTCAAATCTCAGTTCTGGGATCTAGCAATATGGTAGTGCTTTCTGTCTGGAGCTCAGGAGGCAAAAACTCAAGCTGTTGGAAACCATATAAAAAATATGGCTTGAAAAAGGTGGAAGATGAGCCCGAGTGGAAAGGGGGCACTGTCTAGGTTCTCACGGTCTTTCCTGAGGAGCACTGTCTGGGTTCCCATGGTCTTTCCTGAGGAGCACTGTCTGAGTTCCCACAGTCTTTCCCGAGGAACACTGTCTAGGTTCCTACAGACTTTCCTGAGGAGCACTGTCCGGGTTCCCAGTCTTTCCTGGCCTTGGTTCTAGATACGTCTGACTTTGTGAACTGCGCTGGTAACATTATTAGCATCAATTTTACCTTTCTATTAGGCTGCTCAAGTTGATTCCCATAAGATCATACTCAAGGCTCTTGGTTCCCATGGAGCTTGGCATCCTTGTGGCAGCTGGATGTTACTCTTATTTTACTGGAAATATCTCAGAAAGAGCTGACAGTAGTTTATCATGGGAGGAGAAACAGGAGCAGTAATGAAACCAACCACATCCTCCTTCTTAGGAAATGTAGCAGTCTTTAGAAAAATCACTGGCTTCAGAAGAGCAAGTGAAACCTATGTATGGTCAATCTGCCGATAGTGCCTAGGAGAGTCTGTCTTCCATTCCTTACCTAGTTACCTAGTTATACTCCAACTGGAGCGTGGGCGCCTGAGCACAGCTCTTCCCGCTAACCATTTTAGCATCACCGTTCCAGTTTCTATAAACTCTCTCATGTTTACCGTGGTTTCCCCCAAGGACTGAGCCTGGAACATCAAGGACACTTAGTACACATTTCCTGAGCAAATAAATGATTGCTTTAAATAGTGATGATAATTATATTACATGTTTACAGAGTCCAGTCTTGTTAAGATTTTAATTTTGAGTTTTAAACTCAATAGGCGGTCTTCACGGGGAGACAACTGTCTGTTTATTAGAAGTTCTTTTCCTATCCACAAGTTATGCCACAAAACATTGTGTCCCTCGATCCTTGTCTTGGAGGAATCCTTATGTTGTCTTCTTTTTGAACCCCTTGGCTTTATGTGTTTCCTACAGATGAGATGCCATCGTACCTCATGAGAAGATATCACAAGAAAAGTGGTAGAAAATTATGAAAATAGAATTAAAACTCAAGAAATTGAGACTAGATCACAGAAGGATGGGGTCCCGCCGAAGAGTCTAGGCTGCGTCTTAGGAATTCTGGGGCTCCCTTCAGCCCAGTTTCTGCTCCTTTCCCTTGTCCTCCTTTGCGTCTACCACCCCGGTTACTCATGTTTGTTTTTGAAAAAAAGTTTATATACTTATTTCACTTAAACAGTGTTTAAGATTATATTTGTTACTGTACAAAATAGCAGGTTTGGCTATTTCCATTCACAAGCATCTTTATACTGTGTCATAATTTGTCCCCCTCTCCCACAGTCCTTCCTTATGCCCCTTATGCCTCTGTTTCCTGTGTGTGTGTGTGTGTGTGTGTGTGTGTGTGTGTGAGAGAGAGAGAGAGAGAGAGAGAGAGAGAGAGAGAGAGAGAACCAATGTGTTTAACTGGGGATACTTATGTGGGCTTGTAGGGACACTGGAACTTTACCCATTTTTTGTTTGTGCTTGCTCTTTGAGACAGTCTCACTGTGTAGCTCTAGCTGGCCTGAAACTCATTATCTAGACAGGCTGGCTTTGAACTCACAAAGATCTGCCTGCCTCTGATTCTTGAGTGGCGGAATTAAGGGGATGAGCCATCATACACAAGCTTATCTTCTCCCTCCCCACCCTGTTTTTCAAGACAGTGTTCCTCAGTAAGAATGGAGGTAGTCCTGGAACTCACTCTGTAGAGCAGTCTGGCCTTGAACTCACAGAGATCCGCCTGCCTCTGCCTCCCGAGTGTTGGGATTAAAAGCATGTGCCACCCAGCTAAATTTGGCTTCTTAAGCTATGGATCATGATAACCATATGGGATTACATAACTAAATGTGACTGTTGTGAGAAACTTGACAATAGTAAATGGTTTCTGGATGTGCAAAGAGTAAAAGTCAATTAAAAATTGTGTGTTGAATCTGAGATGTTGCTGGCAGTGCTTGCCTGTGCTGTTCAGGTGACTCCACTATAGCCCTGCCTCTGGACATGGATATACATTTTGCACACTACACAGTGCCAATGAATGATGCCTGAAATAGCTTGGCTCGGGTTCAAGAATATTGTTTGTCATAACCTGCAGTGTTTTTTCTGTATGTACAAGGTTTTCTGCTCCTTTAGAAACACGATTTAATTAAGGGAAACAAAGGCTTTCAATATTTTCCTACTGCCATTCCTCCTTAGTGTGTAACAAAATAGTTTGTCTTTGGATTGCATTGTGTTGAATGCTTGATTTTAAGAGTTGCTGTTTGAATTTCTGACTAGGGTTTTACAAAAATCATTAAGTGCATTGATTTTTGGCTTAAAACAGAACTTTCAGCAGTTTCTGAAATGGCTCTAAATGTACTTCTTCATTTTAGGTTATGCAATTTCATGAGCTGGCATTTTCAATATTGACATTGCAAAATTAAACCACTGATGAACTCTGAGAGACATTAAAGATGGTCCTTCTGTATCACTGATGCAGCCAAGATTTAGTTCTCATGTATATTGATAATGTGTGTGTATGTGTGTGTGCATACTTGTTCACACATGTGAGTGTAGGTGTATGCATGCTATGGTATGCATGTAGAGGTTAGATAGCAACTCCTAGTGTTGATTTTACTGTGTTGGAAACAGAGTTCTTTCATTGTTTTTCATTGACAGCCTACCTGGCCCTTGAGGTCCCAGGGATTCTCCTGTTTCCATCTCCTATCTTCTGGAAGAATCCTAGGATTACAGACACACTATCCTGCCTGACTATATATACATGAATTCTGGTGAGTCAAACTCAGTTCCTCATATATGTGTGGCCACTTAACCCAGGAACCATCTCCTCAGTCTCAAGTTTTCTTCTTTATGTAAAAATATACAAACACATTCATCTTAAGAGTATGCAATTGCTTTAGTCTTTAAGAAATGATAAAACTGTATGTATATTAACTAATTAAGTATTTGTGACTTATCAGTAAATGTTTGGTTTGTGTGCCTATTATGTATTCTTATACATCCAAATGTGCTGGGTAGTTTTATGTCAACTTGACACAAGCGAGAGGCATCCGAGAGGAGGGAACCTCAATTGAAAAATGCCTGTAGAACATTTTCTTAACTAGTGATTAATGGAGCAGTGCCCTGTCCATGGTGGGTGGTGCCGTCCCTGGGCAGGTGGCTCTGGGTTCTATAAGAAAGCAGACCAAGCAAGCCATGTTGAGCAAACTAGAGTACAGCACTCCTCCATGGCCTCTGCATCAGCCCTTGCCTCTGGGATCCTGCCCTGTGTGATGTCCTGCCTTGACATCCTTCCGTCATGGACAGTGATAGGGAAGCATAGGCTTGCTTTCGATTATGATGTTTCAGCACAGCCCTAGTTACCCTCACTAAGACACCAGCACGACATAAGTTTTCTCAGGTGAAAAAGAATCCCACGTGGGGAGGATTTAAGAAGCCCGACTCTACAGCATATAGCAGCTTTGAACATTGTTCTAGGCTACACACAATGTTGCTGTACAGCCTGCTGCTGCTCTTTACAATGAACTTGAGAAACCCATTGTCTAAACAAGCATTAAGACTCCATGAAGTTTTTCTTACCCAAAGAAATGAAATGTGTAAGAGAATCAGTAGGTTTTGCTATGCAGAATACGTTGGAAACCATGCGCCAGTGGCCAGGCCAGTGATGGTCTCTTACTGTCACTGTGAAACCATAGTGACTGCAGCTCTGCAGGGCCTGAGATGCCCGGAAGGAGAGTATGAGAATTCCTTTTGAAGTCTCCTGTGCTCTAAGCACACTCTAGGAGGAAATGCAAGGGTGACTCCTTCAGGGTTTATTTAAATGTGTAATTTGGTTTAAAAGTTTATTTTACGCATATGAGCGCTTGCCTGTATGAGAGTATATACACCATATGCTTGCCTGGTGTCTAAAGAGGCTAGAAGATGGCATTGGATCCCTTGGAACTGAGGTACAGATGATTGTGAGCCACCATGTGCATGCTGGGAATTGAACCTGGGTCCTTGACAAGGGCAGCCAGTTTTCTTGACCTCTGAGCCGTCTCGCTAGGCCCTAGTCTCTGTATGGCTAAGCGTTTCGTGCCTCCGTTCTGATTTGGCTGTTATCCTGTGCAGGTGGAAGGCCACCCTCCTCATTCTCTCCCAGGCGAAATTCCCTTCATCCTTCAGGCCCACTTCCTCTTCATCACCTGCTAAGGCCCATCCATCAGAGCTGCAGTCTCACAGGGACAACTTTGTAGAGAAATAACTCGTTTCTTTAGTCAGTGTCTTGTGTCGTTTCCATTGCCTACCGGGATGTGAACTCCTAGAGGACAAGACCCTTGGACTTGCCTTTGTGTTCTCTGTGGTACCCCAGCCCTGGCTGTCCCCCAGAGAAGGGAGGAAGTCGTGCAGCATGCGCTCTGAGGCCCGGTTCCAAATGAAGGCAGAAATCTTACTGTATGCTCTTGGCCTCCGAGCAGACACTAGATGTGGTGTTTTATTCACACCCAGTGGTCACAACATTGTAAAAATGTAAATTATTTCAGCCAAAGGTGTGAAAATCCCATGCTCTGTGTTTACACCAGCAGTTTCCAAGCTGCCTTGCTGCTGTGAATAGCCAGCATGACTCTCCTTCCTGAATTTTAACTAAGCACCGGGATGATTGGGTCACCTTTTCAAAGCCGAACCCCACCCGCTCGGAGTTCTCCACCTCTTTGCAGAGATTGAATGGCAGGCGGTTGAACTGTGGGTGAGTAGCATGACTTAACAATAACTCGGTGTGATTTCAAAAGACTCGTTTGTCTGATCAAAGGACTACGTCCTTCAAAGCCTAACTAGTTAGAACTCACTCAGTGAGATGAATGGGTACTCAGGTGTGGGGTCGAGACTCAGGATGCAATTGCTTCTTATGTAACTCTAGAGGAGGAAAGGGAAGCAGCAGAAGCGAGGACCCTGGGCTTGGGTTGACTTAGTGTCTCTTTGTGTGGTGTGCACCAAAGCCCTTTGCAGCTGCAGCACAGCTCCTGCCCCTTCGTGGGAGAGCAGAAACCAGCGCAGACAAATGTGAGATCAGGCATGCAGTGAGGCCCTTGCTATACTCACTTGCCTTTTGGATTCATAAAGCTTACCTCTTCCATATAAGATTAAGGGAAATGACTTTACCTTATGACATCCAAACAATTCTTGGAACTCGGCAATCACCAAGCAGAGCCTTGTGGTGAATGGAGGCAAAGCAAAGACCTTATTCTCCCTGCAACTGACAATTTCTTCCTACAGTAAAGGTGGGTGGGCGGAGGTGGGAGCATAGGGGAGTGGGCTGTCTACTTTCTGTGATGCCTGAACACTGTAGAAGCTGTTTTGTTTTCCCCCCCTCAGATCTGGGATGTCTTGGGAAGTAGGCTACAGAGGGGCACAGAAAATCCCACAGTGAATTGTTTATTGGAGCAGTTAATGTCTGGCGACCTCACTGATTTCATTACCTTAATGATACTGTGTTTGTGGTTAGTTTGGGGATGCTATGGAAACAGCAGGCCAGGGCAAAGAAGCAAGTGTCCCATCACTCCTGCAATATGGGAAGACCGTGGTACCCATTAGTGAGCAAACGCTGTGTGCTCACCCGGGTTTGTCAGCGTCAGCCCCATTTTGCCACTGGTTTATCAGAACAAAAGGAATAATTGTTTCTGCTTTTACAGAGGGATTGTTATAAGGAACTCTTATTTAAAATATACTTGTTATTTTTTTTCTAGATTTGTTGATGTATGACTTACTAATATTGTAATACTTAAAGCATACAATGTAATTGTAGCCATTAAGTTAATTAGCACGTCTATCATACACACATAGTATGAAGGCAGTCATAAGGTATTTAAAGTAATCGTGTACATAAAAGGAAAGTTTTACAAGGTGGAATTCCCACCTCTTGGTATCATGCTGTACTTAGACTTGAGATTTCTGAATCAGGGTGCTCAGCCTTTAAAGAACTTTCATATATGATCCCTGTCTAGCTTGGGATTAGATAACTGTGTACAGAACTCTGCTGGAAAGGGATTGAAACCCGAGTAACATTAACCAAACCTTCCTCTTGGATTCTTTTTGTTGAACTGAGACTTAGAAAACTTGAACTGGAGGCCACTTGAGCCTCTCAGGGTCAGGGAAGACTTAGGGGGCTTCTGGACCCTCTGCTGCAGTCCTGTGATGGCCCAGGGAAGCCCTGGTCTTCACAAGAACTTGTTCAGCCAGCAGGAGCCAGCAGTTAAATTCTCTTACCTGGTCCTAGTAACATGTGGGGAGGTTACCGTCTTATTGCGTGTTACTGTAGGGTGACATGCACAGGTTGATGGACGTTGAGTTTTGGTTTCCTTTCTGTTACACCTTTCATGCTAGAGGTGGCCTTCTTGTCTGGATGATATCAACTTGAAAGTGAGGATCATATAATTGACTTCATATGATTAATTTAAAAAAAGTTTGCAGCCAGGTGGTGGTGGCGCACCCCTCTAATCCCAGCACTTGGGAGGCAGAGACAGGTGGATCTTTGTGAGTTCAAGGTCAGCCAGGTCTACAAGAGTGAGTTCCAGGACAGCCAGAGCTGTTCCACAGAGAAATCCTGTCTCAAAAACCCAATAAAATTAAAAATAAAATAAATAAAAAATAAATAAGTTTGTAGCAGAGATTTTCATGTGGGATAACTTTGCTGTTAGCCTTTCTTTTAATATGAAGGTATTTCCTACTACCCTTTTGTGTTTGAAGCATATCATACCAGCTAGGCTCAGGCCAGTCTATGACAATGGAACCCTGAGTCAGCTGGACATGGCATAGCCTACCACTCAGCTTCTGGGAGAATGTGGTAGGAGGGTGGTAGATTTGAGGTTACCGCAGGTTGCATAGAGAAACCCCACTTTTCCTGTATGCTCCTATCCTTTGGCTTTTAATAATTTTTCATGTTCTTTGCTTATGTTATCTGGATCATCTCCTTTACCTTCAAGTCCCCTGACTTTTCTAATTGGGATAATAAACTTTTCTATTTCATCTTCATTCCAGCCTGCTGTGGGAATTCAGTCTGATAGCCACTTGTATTGGGGTGGCTTGGCCCAATGGGCATGGTCTTCTCTAGGGATAATTGACCCGATAAGAATAAGAGGGACGGGGGAGAAGGGCCGTGAATTTTCTTGGACTGAGGAAGGTTTGCTGAGGCCATAGCTTGGTGACTTACCACTATTGGGAACGAGAGGAGTGGCAAATCAACAGCAGCGTTGCAACCTCGTTCTGATTGTGAGTGTACTTTACTGATTGGCACCTGTTAGTAAATCTGACTTGATCACAGAGTTCCCTCCCTCATTATCAGCCCGTGTTCTCATCAATGTTTTTATCGCTTCACAAAATTTGTTTTTCAAATCTTGAATTATCTTTTAGATGTGTATTTGTGTTTTCTTGGCCACCACTCAGTTGTGCACTGTTCTCCCCTTGGAGTTGGAGTTCAGTGGAGTGTTTACTGCTGTCTTCTTTAAATTCCGTGAATTCTTTCTTAAAGTTGGGATTGTCCTTTGAAGTTCTGTGTCCTGGGGTTCGTCTAGGTCATTCTCATTAGAGAACACTTCTATAGGACTAATGGGTTTGATGGGAGAGAGAGAGTTGTTAGGGCCATTCATGTTGTTTTTGTTTTTGCAATTTGACCTGGGCTTGTGAACTCCTTTGGTTGTGTATCTGATGTGATTATCTGGCCTTCCTTAGACTGGGCCAGTACAGGACACCTGAGCTGGGTCAAGTAAATCTGGTGGATGAGCTGTTAAATCAGACCAAGGAAAGATGGAACCCAAACCACTGGTCTAGGGCTAGGCCAGGCAAAGGGGGTTCACAAATGCTGGACAGTGTGGTGACTTTCGTGCATCACCGCGAGGCAGGATTGTTGGTGCTTTTTCCCCTTGGCAGCTTGCAGAACACCTTCTAGTATTAAGAGAGTTGGTCCTCAGTGAGGATGCTTTCTGGTATCCAGTTGGTTCTTCCAAGTCCTGGGTCCGAAGTGTGGGACATCTTAGAAATAGGAATTCCATCTTTAAACTGTATAAGTCAGTGACAATCAATAGCAATAGCCTATATTATTTTGGGGGATCTTTTGAACTCCCCTGATAATTCAAAATGAGGTTTCTCATGCCTGGTACTGGGATTTTTGTTAGGTATTTTATGGCTCTAGGGGAAGCAATATCATACCAAGTGCCATAACTTTATTTAAACTATACACACACACACACACACACACACACACACACACTTTTATACACTATAAGTAATTTTAAACATAAACAATATGATTCCATTATGGTTTTTAGAAGCAGCCTTAGTGTTATCTATCTCCTTTCTCTCCATCTCCCTGTATTGATTGCCCTGCCTCTCTTTTCTCCAGTTAAAACTCTCTTCCATTTCCATCCCTCCCCCGCACCATAGCCTCTTACCTTGCTATTCCCTCTATAGATCTCATCTGCTCCTACATGATCCATTTTCACTTTCCTGGTTTCTTCAGTTGCTCCAGGTTATATCCTCACATCTAAAGATCCAGAGCTTGGATCCTCAGAAAAGAGGTAGTGTGTGATCTTTGTCTTTCTGGCTCTGGGCTACTTCATTCAATATTGTATTTTCGAGGTAAATTCATTCATCTGCATATTTTATTACTTCACTTTTTAAAAAGTTGAATATAATTCCATTGTGTACAGGCGCAACATTTCCATTATCGAGTCAATGGTTAAAGAACCTTGAGATTGTTTCAGTTCCCTAGCTGTTTTGAATAAAGTGATGATGAATATGGCTAAATACGTGTCTGTTGAGTAGAATGTCTAGTCCTTTGGGCATATGCTTAGGAGTGATATAGTCGAGTCATATGGTCGATTTGTTTTTACGTTTTTGAGAATCCTCCATGTGGATTTAGAGGATTTGTTTTCAGATTTCTATGGTGGTGATCAGGGATCTCCTTCCCCCACACCCTCTTGCTGTCAGTTGTTTTATTGATCTTGGCCATTCTGACTGGGACGAGATGAAACCTCAAAAGGAATTTTAATCTGTATTTCCCTAATTGCTAAAGATGATGGACATCTTTAAAGATATTTCTTAATCATTTTTATTTCTCCTTTTTGAGAACTCTCGGGCAGATCCATAGCCCATTCATTCTTTGGATGGTTTTCCTTTATTCTCTGTGTGTGACTGTGAAGACTTTGCTACGTGTACATGTGGACCACACCTGTGCCTGGTGTCTGTGGAACACAGAAGAAGGTGTTGGGTCTCATGAAATTGAAGTTAAGGGTAATTGTGAGTCACTGTATGGGTGGAATATTGAGGAATAGGAGATTTCAATTCAGTGGCAAGCAAGAAAGCCTGTGAATGGAGCAAACACCCAGATCTGCTTTAGCTGGTGTGCAACCTGTGCTATCCAAGCTACTCCTGGGCACGTGGGGAAGGAGTGGGCAGGCTGGACTTCGGGATACTCACTATTTGGGGTGATGTACAAGCTGTGTGGTTGAAGCAAGGTCCGAGGATTGGGGATAATGCAGGCAGGTGACAGTCCAGTGAATCATCAGCTTGGAAGGGGACTCAGATGTTCTTCTTGAGTTAGGCCTGGAAGCAGAATTGCTATAGGCAGGCTAGGGTCTCAAGGATTTACTATATTTAAGTGGCACACAGGCTGTGTGATAGGACCAAGCTGGGAATGGTTCCCAATTCTCTGGTAGGACTGACTTTACTGGGCTGGCCCACAAGGTGCTGTCT